GTCTGTTAAACCGAGGTGTTATTATATATCATGCCTTCTTTTACAAGCCCAAGCATTGTAACATTTCCTCCAAGAACAATTAATATTGCTTCTTCTTTCAATTGTCCTTTTTTTCTAGTTCATAATAACATGTTTAAATCCGAACTGCAGCCCTTCAGATGGCCTGATCTCTCAGGAGCCTCCAATCAATATGGTTAATGATGCTGGCCACAAAAATGAGATGCTAGAGGGGACATAGAAGTCCAGAGGGTTTCTAAGTCCAGAGAGTTTCTAAGCTTTGTTTAAAATGGGACCCCTGAGTTGGAATCTCATATCTACAAAGTGTCATATTGGAAAATGGGAGGCATATAGTATTTCAACAGTGGGAATTTGGTAATCCCATCAGGATCCCAAAGTATCCCTCAGAGTAACAGATATTCCAGAGAAATTGATTATATATTTGTTAATTGTTATGTTTTTTCATTTTTATAAATAACTCAAGTCAGCGAACATACATAATACTCTTTCTTCCTCCCATTTTCCCCACAACAACAACCTTGTGAGTTAGGTTGGGCTGAGAGAGAATGAATGACTCAAAGTCACCCTTTCATACCTAAGGCAGGACCAGAATTTACAATCTCCTAGTTTCTAGGCCAATATCTTAACTGATAGATCAAATTGACTTTATATTTTTATTTTTATATTTGAAGATCCAACTACCCCCCCCTTTTTTTTGCATCTTAGCATTTACATTTAGTTATATTGCATTGCATTTGCTACGTATTCTTGCTCATTCCTGCATTTTGGAGTTGTTTGTTTTAAGCTATGTCCAGCTCCCATATTGTTTTTAATTTCTCTGAATAATGTGATACCATCAGCAGATACAGTTTCTCCGCCAGTGCATCCAAAATTTGCATCTGTTGAACCGTTGTTTGCCAGAAGTTGTTAAAGATTTCGCAGTCCTGCCACGAAGTATATATTTGCCTTTCTAAACTGTGTATTTCTCAGTTTAAATGGCTCTGAACAACTCACACATTAGTCAGAGATTTCATCCTACCAAAATTACTCCTCATCCAGGCTCCAAACAGAATAGCCGTTTCTTCCATTTTCTATTCCGTATAGCCTCTAGGACAACATTAAACTCCCCTCCTACCACTGAGATCCAGCACTAAAATTTTATTTTATTTTGGCTCCAACTGCTTTTTCCATAAGCCAAAAAGAAAAAAAGAAAGAAAAAAGAATCTGGAAAATAAGAAGAGGGGAGAGAAGGCAGTTCCCAGCTGGAGTTGGCAAGGGCTGGGTTGGGCTGCAAAGACGAATCAGGATTAGTTCTAGGGGAAATGGCTCCTTTCTGCCTCTGAAATTTGGCTGCACTGCCTGCAGTTTTCCATCCAACTAAGAAAAAATGAGAAAGAAAAGTTTTTTAAAAACTGGTCAAAATTGCCAGATGGCGGCTCTCTCTTTGTTTCTCACAGCAGGGTGGAGGCAAAGCAAATTCTAGGAACTGACTTACCAGCTTTCCAAGATCTACCCAAATTTTCTTCGATGGTTCAGAATAAGAACTTGGCACCCCTAACTGTCCATGACACTTTAGAATCTCAGTCCCAAATCATTCAAAGCTGGTTAAAGTTTATGACTTCAGTTTTCCTTTGATTTCAGATCGCCTGAATCATTATTAATTTCTTCCCTGTTCATTAGGGAGAAACAAAGGTTCCCAAATTGGCTTACAAATATGGATTGTGGGATATTCCCTGTCTTTTGATGCATAACCAAGAGGTCATATATTATACAAAGCAGAGGAATGGGGAGAGAAGAGGTGGGGAAAGCAAATTCAGGCACTGTTTCTTACATGTAGAAAAAATAATTTTGGCAGCTTTCCCCATCAGTGTATGATCAGCACTTAGTAAGTTTATCCAGAGCAAACTGAAATAATTTACACAACCAGATCCTGCTTATACAAATGCAACAACCCACCAATCCCTTCAAATGCTCCCCAGCATACTGCTTTCTTTTAGAAGGGGCCTTTCTTATCCAATCAACCTGTTGGAATTTTACTAAAAAGCAAGTCCAAGCTTCCATGTAACTATGGATGCCAGGGAGGTCAAAAAGGTCAAGATGGTAGCCACCAACAAATCATTGAAAACACCCTCCCCCCATTTTTTACATGCAGAAACTTCTGCACATATTCCCTTCAATGATCATACTGGCTCTTTTGTCTTTTAAAAAACCCACAAAAAATCCATGTGTGTTTTTTTTTTTAACTAGCAATGCTAAGAACTGTCCACTGGGAAGCATCCCAAATCACCCCCAAATCTACATTGACCCACCCAAGGATTAGTTTTAACAAACTTCACAATCATTTGGTGACCCTTTTGTTAACAGCAGAGGCCTTGATCAATTTTCTAACTGAAGCATCGCTTTACTCTAGTCACTCCCAGCATTCCCCAGCCAGCATAGTGGCTAAGGAATTGTGGGAATTGAAGTCCACACATCTTCAAGCTGTTAAGGTTGAGAAATACTCTCCAACTGCCATCTACGGTTCAGAAACTCCCAGCCATTATAGCTGCCACATGCAACCATCTCTCCCCCCCACCAAATATCTGCCCCACAAATTATAGTCTTGCTTTCTAAATCTTCATGCGGCATTGTCTCTTAGTTTTTCCTTCCTGTCATTGGGTTGTGGTCAGAATAAAATGGGGAGTAGAGAGAACCACAGAAGCCACCCAGAGTTCTTTGGAGGAAAGGTAATAAAAATTTGATAGAGGAAATGAAACAAAAACAATGTTACAATAATTTAAGCCGAATTTGAAATTGTATCCAGCATCAGGTTTATAGGTACAGATATCCCCTTATTTTTTATTTTTATTTTTTTAATCTCTCTCAAAAAATGTTCGTATGTCACCAAAAAGCTTTTTTCTTCTGGATTTGCCACCTAGATAGTTAACACTGTGGTTCATTCTTCAGGATTGGGGACAATATTTGTGGATCCAGGACAAATAGTACCTCTTCCTTGACATAAAGTAATTAAGTCTCTCCATTTGCACTCCATTTTATAGTAAAATCTACCCTATAAATGTTTTCCCCATTTACTTTGCATAACAATCATAGGGATGGAAGTGGACACTAACTCTCCCTGGCCTGGAAAAGTCCTTCAGGTGTACCGGATTACAATTCCCATCATCTTTGGCCTGCTGGAAACAATAGGGGCTACAATCCAACCTATGAGGAGCGTAGCAGTTTGAAGAAGGTTGAACACCCCGGCCATTCTCCGAGTGCATCCTAAACTTCTATTTTATGGGCCCACCCCTTTCTTCCGCCCCCACTGCTACAAATGCCCATTGAGCAATTTTGCTTCTGGCTGGAAAACCTACCTTCTGGTGGAGCCCCCATCCTGCCTGTACCCGTCCTCCGCACACTCCGTTCCAGAGTAACAGATGGTGGTGGCTCAGCACCAGTGGGATGGTGGAGGGGAGAGAAAGCTGGGGCAAGTGCCAGGGAGGACTTAGCTGTGCCGTTCTTCCCAGCCACCCTCACCCTTCTCCCTTCTCCCTTTCCACCTCCCTCCCTCTCTCTCTCTCTCTCTGTCTTTCCTTGCCTCTCAGTTCTCCATCCGTGCCTGCCACACTCACTAATTCATAGCACCTCCTTCTAGTTCAGTATCATCCTCCCCCTTTATCTCTCCCCCTTCCTCACTTATTCCTCACAGCTTTCCCTTTTACTATTTCTCTTTCTCTTTTAATATTTACTTTCTTAAATCAGCTGTTGGGTCCCCAAATACAGTTTTTCTTCTTTTTTGGTCCTTACAAGTTTTGTGATGAATGTACCTTCTGTACTGACCCTCACCCTAACCTTTTCCCCTTTCAAACAGAGATATATCTTCCTACCTAACCCTATTTTATCCTGAAAATTTATCTTTCTGCTCATTTACAAGATTAATTTTTTCATTCATTCATTCACTGAGAGTTACCCGATAGCTAACATTTTCCATTTAAAGGTCTTCTAAAAACCCCAAGAGCAGGGAATAATGAAATATTAAAAGCAAGCATCAAAACTATAAAAATTATGGCAATAAAAACTATGGTAAAATACCTCTTTGAGTAAAGATCATCTCAGCAGTATATTTAATTAAAAATAATCACAACAGAAGTAATCTCCACTAAGTCAAGGAAATATACTTGTCAAGAAGAATGATTTTTTAGAAATTCTAGTATGTTACCAATTTGCAGATCTGTTGCATCAATCATTTATCAATCAATTATTTATCTGATCAATCATCCACTTATCATTAAAATGATGCATCGTTATTTTATTGTACAGATACAACAATCGTATGCTGATTATACTTTAACATTTATTCCCCAAATAAATATGTATGTATTCCAATGCATGCAGATAAATCCACTAAATTATCTAGGGTAGATCATCTACAGTTTAAAATATCACGAAATTAGAATTAACTGGCCAGTGGCCAGTCATTATTGATTTAATTGATATTTTAATCCTAGCCTTTCCCCCCATTCTTACAGTGTCCAGTACAGATTCTGCTGTTGCCAAATTGCAAAAAGCAACAATTCCTTTTACAGTATAAAGTACATTATGTCCCACAGATAAATAGTTGTGGTCTGGATAATTTCATGATGGTAATTTTTTTAGTTAACTGTTCCTAATTTTTACAATACTATGAAGTAAGTTGTATGATCATTTCCACTTTCCTAATAGATTTGATGCAGTGGTCCATTTCATGGACAATGAAACAAAGATTTGAACCCTGCATGCTCTTCCCTGCCACATTAACTTGCTTCTACTGTCTCTCTCTTCACACAAGCACACTCATCCTTCAATGTTTGCTCTTCTCATATTTCTCTTTGTTTTTTCTTCCTCTCCTTCCCAACTCTATCTTTCTTCCCATGACTGGGGTGGCCTCTGGAGCCCAATTTCTTCCCTGATTGCCCAAGTTATACTTATTCTCTCTCATAACTGCTGCACACATTCACAAGTAAGTTCAAGTTACTTGAACTTACCTTTCCCGTCCTCCTTGTTCGATTCTGCTTTCTCTTTCATGCTGTTGCAATTTCCAGTCTTCCAGTATTTTCCAAACTTGGAAAAAGGGGCTGTTGCTGGTAGGAGATGAATTTAGGCCTGGAAAATTCCTCCTTGCTGGGGAATGTCAAACTTCAGGACTTTTTGTGTGTGTGGGGGGGGGGGGGGGGAGACTAGTTAACCCTTTGTTACCGAGCCACTGATGCTACTCAGCTCTGAGTATTGCACAGTCCTGTAACTGGGATATGTTAAGAAGAAGCTGTTACCTTTCCTACTCAAGTGTCCCAGAGAGGCATAGCATTGATCTTTACGTGCTGTCCCAGCAGATTCTTGGTTCCCTCCACGCCCCGACAGCTGCCACAGCTGTACCCCTGGATCTTTTCCAAAACCTGGGAGAGAACAGCTTTTCTATTCCAGGAAAATGACGGGGCATCCATAAGGGAGCATATTCTGATCTTTTTTCCCCTCTAAAGTCTCTAAGACATCAGACTAGACAAATTTCTTACTATGTGACCGATTTTTTCTAGGAACACTAGAAACAAAAACCAACACACTCACATGCAATATATAGGGAAGTGGGGACAGAGCCCAAAGTATAAAGCTCCACCCTAAAGCTACAAATAACTACAATGGAAAGCGTACAACCAGAGTAAACTGATCTGTGCAGGACCAGGAATATGCTGGGGTTGTCAGTAAAATTGGCTGATCTATTTTGTTTTGGCATATCAAATTCTAATTTCACTGTCTGAAGCATGTGCGTGGAACATATGTTCCATATGTATGTGTGCAAGTTTACTGCAAGAATTAAAGGAACATAAGGACATTGGGAATATATATCAGGAACAGTTGGCAAGTAGTACGTAATAATGGAAAAAACAGAAAGCGCCCTTTTAAAGTCTTTGGGTTTTTCAATTCTTACTATAAGAAGTCCTTGACTTATGTATCACAACTGGGACCAGAATTTCTGTTGATAAGCAAGGTGGTTGTTAAGTGAGTTCACCTGATTTTAACAACCTTGTTTGCTAGGGTTAAGAAAACTGTTGCAGTTGTTAAATAAATTACATGGTTGATAATCAAAGCAGGTTTCTCCCATTGACTTTGTCAGAAATTGTCTGGGAAGGTTGCAAAATGGCGATCGGATGACTCCATGACCCTGCAACCAATTTATGTACGTTGCTAAGTGCTCATGTGACTTGCTGCAATGGCCTTAAATGCAAGGACTGGCAGTCACTTGTGCCATTGTAACTTTGAACAGTCGCTCAATGAATGGTTGTAAGTTGAGGTCTTTCTGTACAGAAACTCTTATTCGCAGGCCTGCCGTTAGCAAATACCAATAATTTCCCCCCTCCATGATATAAGTACTAAGCACTTACTCTTTTTAAACCAATGAAAGCTCAGATTCCAAACTTCAGATTAAGATAATCCATTCTCGGCTGGCAAAATGGTCATTATGGTAGAAACTTAGTTTCCCTTTGCATTCTTATCAAGAACTTCTGAGGGCAAATCAGCAATTTCTACAGTAGCTGTTACAACCCACTCCTGAAAATGGAAATTGATGTATTAGGATGTACAGCAGAAAATCAAAACTTAGGTTTTGTTTGTGCTGTTCCTTCTCCCTCTACACAGCTAGAAAGGTCCTTACATTTGCTTTCACAGCATAGCCTAGCTCCAAGGTCAGGAATTCACCAGCCATCTATTTTGGGGGCGTATCTGATTTCAGTCCCTTGTGTTGCCATTTTGAGGGCACGAACTGCCCAGTGTATGTGCTTGTTTAAAGACCACAGAGAAAAATGACTGTCTCTACTTTGGCCACATGGAAGAAGTACATGCTAAGAATTTTCAGAAAATCAGCAGCAAGACAAGCCAAAGATTTTTCAAAAATGTCAAAAAGAAGGGTTTGTGAAAGACAGAATATATTTATTTTGGTTTTAGCAAGGTGTTTTTTGTTTTTAAACAGGGGTTGCCTATTATGGTTGTAAATCATGATGGTTGTAAAACAAGACATCTTATGACCGAATCTTATGACATTTTTAAAAAGTGATTGTTAAACAAACACAGCGGAGTTTAGGGTCATTAAGCAAACCTGTTGTTTGCTATGAGGCTTTTTTTTTTTGCCAAAAACTGTTAAGTAAATGCTGGTTTTAAGTAAAATAATCGTAAATTGAAGTCATGTGTCTGCAGGATGCTGCAAATGTCCATAAATGCAGGATGGTTACCTAGCACCCAAAATGAAGTCACATGACCACAGGAGGTGGTGGTGTAGCCTTTATAATTTTTAAAACCTGGTTGTAAATATCTTTGGCACTAATGGGCACTAAGCAACTGGTCATAAGTTGGACTACATATATAATTCTCATATTGCAAGACATTCTACAGCTTTGTAGATTTTTGTAGATCTAATAAGATCTACAAAGCTGTAGATCAAGGGTCTTCAAACTTGGCAAGTTTAAGACTAGTGGAATTCAACTCCCAGAATTCCTAAGCTAACATGACTGGAGGAGGAATTCTGGGAGTTAAAATCCACAAGTCTTAAAGCTGTCAAGTTTGAAGACCCCTGCTGTAGATCTTGGTTTTTCTCCCCAGGTGCAAGGGTAATTTTTATATCACTAGTTTTTGTTAATTGTGTATTGCTTTTGTACCAAGTGCTTAGTACTGTGGCTGAAGTTCCAGATGCAAGTCACTTTCAAGGAGCTGTTGGCCAAATATAGAATTTTTCTGGCTTTAAAATAACATTCAATCAGCATCACTGAACGCCAATAATTCCTACTGCAGTGCTTAATGTCACTTATTTTTACTTTGTCTGAAAACATCCCTCAGGATTTTGACTTACAATTCTGTTGTAGAGGTTTCTATTGCTTAAAACTGTATAGTTAGCATCTGATTAATTCATATTGACATTTTGTAGCCCTAGTGATTTTGCCAGCTATTTGAGCATGTTAATACATCTGATTTTGTCTATATTTTTTTCTGTTTACTATCACAAAAGATTATTCATCCCAAGAGAGCCAAAGATTTAGGTTTCCCTAAATTAGTTTTGTTTCCAAATATGTGAGTGATTTATGGAACATAATCTTTTTAATGCTAACTGTAAATTGGTATTATAGACATTATAACTAATACTTTATCTTTCTTTCTGATAGAATGAAGCATTTTATTAACAATAAAATGATTGCAAGGAAAGAATTTAATTATAGCATTTTACCTCTGTGGCTAATCATATTCACCTGGGAAACAAAGTATTCTTGGTGCTTTCTGGAAAGCGGTAGTTAAAGGTTCCTCTAAGAATAATATTTTCTGTGTGAATCTTCATGTCAGTTTTGATTCCAGTGACTCATTATTTTTTGGTGATCCCATTTTCAGAAGTGGTTTGCATTGCTTTTGCCCTAGGGCTGAGAGAGCATACTGACCCAATCATTCACTTGGCTTTTGTGCCTATGACAGGATTAGAACTATTTTCTAACCACTACACCAGGGGTTCCCCAAACTTGGCAACTTTAAGACTTGTGGACTTCAACTCCCAGAATTCTCCAGCAAGCTATGCTTGTGGGCTATGCTGGCTGGAGAATTCTGAGAGAATTCTGAAGTCCACAAGTCTTAAAGTTGCCAAGTTTGGAGACCTCTGCACTACACTAAAAAATGGCTCTCTTAAATCTTAGTTGTAATATGCATTTCCTCCACAAATCTGAAGAATTCATATTTAAAACAATGTAGGCAAGTAGTCTTAAAATTTGCATTGCAAGCCAATAATTTTCCCCCAGTTTCATCCTTCAACCTCTGGAAAAGAGGACAGGGGTTAATGGAAAGACACCATCAAATCATTAATCCTAAATCCCAATAAACACACATACATTAATCAGTCATAAAACCAACATTAGACCTTAGAGGATATAGTCCATTCCAATAGAACTACATTTTCCCTTTTGTTTTTAGAAGAAAGCAATCAGAAGTATTTTTAACTTAAAATTTCTAAAGGTTGCTGCTTATTTGGTTACAATTTTCTCCTTTGCTCATGCACTTTTCCAGTTTACATCGCCAAAAGCAGTTTTGAGTCAACCGTGGCAATTTAAAAATGTGTAGACCCAAGCCAGCATGACCGACAAGGGAAATATGGGAGTTGAAGTCCACGCATCTTAAAAGTTGAGACACGATGGGCAAGACAACTATCAACTAACCTACGGCTTTATCAATTAAGCCTTGCCCTGACAAAGAGGCAACCGGATGCCAAAGAAACTCAACAAAACACAAGCGAGCTCACATCCCATTTCCTCTTTGCCTTTATTATGAACTTTATTATTATTACTTAATAAAAGTTTCAACTTGCTTTTTCTTTACCTCCTTTCGCGCACGCGCACATCTAGACAGGCTGAAGGGCGGAGACTTTACCCCCTTTCGCGCCCGCATTTATTGGTAGCGCGCATGCGTAAAATTGTGGTCTTGCGAGAGTGAGGTTCTTCGGGAAAGCGAGGCGGGGCCAAAGTAGGATAAAAAGGCCACGTGCGCCGGCGTGCCCTTCTGTTTCAAATGGCGGCCAGCTGCAGGTGGGTGCTTGCGGCAGGAATGGCGGGTGGTGGCGGGTGATTGGGGGACGGGGGGTGTTTAAGAATTATTTGGATCTTTTTTTTTTTTTTTTTTGCTGCTGTGATACTTTTAGCAATGATTTTTTTTTTAACAAGGAGAAGTCAAAAGCCGGACTTTTTGATTGTTTTAAAAAGTCGGGGAGGGGACAAATGGACTCCTAAGCAAAGGAGGATTGGAATAAGAAATAGGACTAAGATATGGGCGGGAAGATATGTCCCTTATAGAAAAAGGCCTTGCAGGATCTATGGAATGGGAATTCAATCAATCCGAATAGAGCTGGAAGGGATCTTGGAGAGGTCTTAACTAGCCCAACGCCCTGCTCAAGCAGAAGTCACTGTATATGTATATACCAATTGAGACAACTGACTGCCCACAGTCCCTTCTTAAAAAACCTCCAGTGATGAAGCACCTACAACTTCTGGAAGCAAATGGTTACTTGTTCTCACTGTTAGAAAGTTTCTCCTTAGTTCCAGATTTCTTCTCTCCTTGATTAGTTTCCATCCATGGCTTCTTGTCCTGCCTCTGGTGCTCTGGGAAATAGGTTGACCCCCCCCTCCTCTTTATGGCAGCCTCTCAAATACTGGAATGCTGCTATCATGTCCCCCTTCATCCTTCTTTTCCCTAGACAAGTCAAACCCTCCAACCTTTATTCATTTGTTTTAGTCTCTAGGCCTTTAATCATCTTAGCTGCTCTTTGCGATTTTCCAAAGTCAGCATTTTAAACTAAATGCCATATTCCAGTTGTAGCCTTACCAATACTTTATATAAAGCAGTGCTTAATATTCAGTGCCTCTGCTTATACAAACAAGGGATTATATTAGCCTTTTTGGCTGCTGACGCAGACTTCTGGCTTATATTTAAGTGATCATCCATTCAGACTCCAAGGTTCCTTTCACAGTTAACTGTTTTGAGCCAGGTTTTGCCTAATCTGTACTTGTACCTTTGAATTAATTGAATTAAGCATCTTTTTCTTTTCCTTTGGT